ATGTGGGATATGTGGGTGTAGAGTTTTTCATAAAATTCTTTATTATACCATCAATATCCATAGGATCAGTAGTTATGATCTCCATCTCATTTCTGATCTTACTAATACATGTTTTCTCTCTTTTTTTCATGGTTAGCCTGGCTAGTTTTATCAATGTTATTGATTTCAAAAAAAAAAAAAAACCCTCAACTTTCGGTTTCATTCATTTTCTCTATTTTTCTGTTTTCAAATTCATTGATACTTGTTTTAATATTTATTATTCCTTTCTGTTGTTGTTGTTTTGCTATCTTTTCTAGCATCCTAATATGGAAGCTTAGATTTTTGATTTTAGGTCTTTCTTCTTTTCTGATATATGCATGTAATACTATAAGTTTCTTTCTAAGCACTGCTTTCACTGCATTTCACAAATTTTAATAAGTTGTACTATTATTTTCATTTTAGTTCACAATGTTTTCAGTTTGTCTTGAGACTTCTTCTTTGAATCATGTGTTGTGGTGTTGTTTAGTCTTCAAATATTTGGGATTTTCCAGCTCTGTTTCAATTACTGATTTTTCTTTAAATTCCACTGACACCTGAGAGCACACTTTGAATAAGTTCTATTCTTCTAAATTCGTTAGATATATTTTATGACCCAGAATTTTGTCCATCTTGGGAATGTCAACGTGAGCTTGAGAAGAATAGATATTCTGCTGTTGTTGGATGAATAATCCTGTAAATATCAATTAGATTCAGTTGTTTGATTATGCTGTTCAATTCAACTGTATCTTTAATGATTTTTCTGCCTATTGGATCTATCAATTAGTTATAGAGGAGTGCTGAAGTTCCCAACTATAATAGTCATTATGTTTGTTTTTCCTTACAATTCTATCAGGTTTTGTCTCAAAACCATTTTTTTGACTGTACATAATGTATCTTTCTCCATCCTTTTCGTTTAATGTATCTCTGTGTGTTATGGATTAAATTGTGCTCCCCCTGAAAAAGTATGTGCTGGAATCCAAACTCTTCAATCTCTGGATGCAATCCTTTTTGGAAAACAGGGTTCTCTTTGTTAGGTTAATTATTTTATACTCAGGCAGGGTGGGTTCTAAAATCTAATAACTCTGAGTTGTATAAACAGGAGATTAGACACAGAGATATATACACAAGAGAAAACCAATGTCATGTGAGGATTACCAAGGAACCAAGGACTACCCAGGGCTACAGACAAGGTAGGAATCAACAGGGCTGAGTCCCTGGTTTGGACTGTTAGCCTCCAAAAATGAAAAGAAATGAATTTCTGTTATTTAAAGTCACCCACATGTGGTATTTCTGTCATAGCAGCAGTAGGATATCAAAACAGTGCCTTTATATCTGAAGTAGATTTTTTTTGTATTGTTTTTGGTAGGTGCCGTTGAGTCAGTTCTAACTCATAGTGACCCTGTGTACAACAGAATAAAATACTCCCTGTCTTGCTCCATTGTCTCACTCTTTGCTTTGTTTGAGTACATTTTTGCAGCCACTGTGTCAACCCAGCTCATCAAGGGTCTTCCTCTTTTTCACTAGCCCTCTATTTTACCAAACATGATGACCTCTTCCGAGGACGGTTTCTCCTAATAACATGCCCAAAGTACATTTTGTGTAGACAACACATAGTGAGGTAACTTTTTTTTTGTTAATTTTTAAATCCATTCCAACAGTTTTTCTCTTTTAATTGGTGTATTTTGACAATTCACTTTTAAAGTGATTATTGATATAGTTGAAGTAATATTACCATGTTTATAACTGTTTTCTATTTCTTGCACACATTCTTCTTGACTTTTCTCTTCTTATTTCTATTTATTTATTTTACTTCTAGTGCTTCCATTAAAGTATTGGGGTTCTCTGATACAGAGTCCCTAGGAGATGTAAACTTTCATGCTAGTCCTCATTCACTCTCCGGCAGTTTATTCAAATCACCACTGAAATGTTCCTACCAGTTATTGGTTGCAACAGCTTCTGTGTCCAGTAAGCTGATCTTGACTGTCATTCTGTCTCTCCAAACTTTGGGATGGTAATTTGCCCTGTGACCATCATTCTATGATGAATCTAAGTAAAGTCATAGATTTTTTAATTGTTCAAATTTTCTCTTGTTACAAAAATGGGAGTGACTCCCAAGCTCTTGACATGTTAGAGCTAAAACTGAGGGTCCTCTAAAATTTTTATGAAATCAAACAACATGCATTGCTTGTTGTGAGACTTCTTCACTCAACATAATTATTTTGAGATTTACTTTAGGCATTAATAGTTTATTACTGTTATTGTTGAATAATATTGCATTTTATGGATGTACTACAATTTTATTCATTCACCTATTAGTGGTTTTTGGATTGTGTCCAGTTTCAAGCTATGGTAAATACAATTTTTATCATTACTCATGTACAAAAAATCTTGTTTGGATATATATTGTCATATCTCTTGGCTAAATATCTTGAAGTGTAATATCTGGCTCACATAGTAGGTATGTGTTTAATGTTTAAGAAATTTCTTATCTCTTTTCAAAAGTCATGTTGGGTCTATGATTTGATTTTATAACATTTACAAAATAAGTTATTCTGTTATAGGAACTCTGGTGTTGTAGTGCCTAAGACATTTGACTGCTAACCAGAAGGCTGGAGGTTCAAACCCACCAACCACTCCTCAAAAGGAAGATTGGGCAATCTACTTCTGTAGTGATACAGCCTCAGAAACCCAAGGAGGGGTTACTATGAGTCAGATCTGACTCGATGGCAGTGAGTTGTGGTTTTTTTTTGTTTGTTTGTTTTTAGTTATAGGTTCATGGATTCAGAAAATACAGCACTCCTGGGTCATAGACAAAAGACATTAGTACTCATGTCACAACAACCAGGATGACCATCAATGTATTTCCCTTACCCCCATATCCCATGAGAGTGATACAATGTACATGAAATGGTTTTGCACTACAGCTGAGAAACATTGAGACTGGCGAATGAATCTATAACTTTTAACTTTTGTATCAAACAAAAAGACCTCTTTTGACTGAGGGGAGACAGTATCTCATCTTTTAAGGTTATCAGCTTTATAATCAGCCCTGACAAATAGTGTGAATGAAGAATGGTCAGAGCCTTTTGAACTTGACACACCCATTAAGAAATATGGCCAGAGGAGGTTTGGACCAATAGATGAAAGAAGTATTGTCTCTCCCAATAGTTTTACACATCTTTTGTTGAATTTATTCCCATTTCATATTTCATATTTAAAAAATAGTTTTGATTTTGAGGTCCAATTTTCAATAGTTAATTGTCAGAGTATATGAATAAAATTATTAGTTGAAAATTGACCTTGCTAAACTCACTTTATTAGTTCTAGTAATTTTCTGTAGATTCCTTAGGATTTAATAGATAAGATCAAAGTCATCTGTAGAAATGTTTGGGAAACCACTCACTAAGGCCCGTAAGAGATTCATTCAGAAGCAGCAGAGATACCAGTGGAACTTGCTGGCAATGTAGATAGGCGCTGAAACTTGCTAGAAGCTAGGGGTATGATTCTCCCTTAGGGTGAGAGAGGTCCCGGGTTCAAATCTCTGACAATCCCCATTTTATCTCATATAGTAAAATGTCTAGGAGCTCTGGTAGCATAGTGCCTAAGACACTTGACTGCTAATCAGAAACCTGGTGGTTCAAACCTACCAGCCGCTCCTCGGAAGGAAGGTTGGGCAATCTACTTCTGTAGCGATACCGCCTCAGAAACCCAAGGAGGGGTCTCTATGAGTCAGGGCCAACTCAAAGGCACACAACAACAACAAAGTACCTTAAGTGTCCCTTACTGTTCTAGCTGACACACACAACAGGTACTACAAGATGGTCCCAATTATACATATCTCCTTTCAACACTTCTCATCTTACATGACACCTCCTCCAAACTGCCTTTTCTAAGTAGCTCATTCCTCACCTCATCAGTCTCCATATCAAGACCCTGCTTCCTTGTATATATGTCATATTATTTAAATAATTTTTTGTGTTTTAGTGTTATTTTTCATTGTTTATTATGTGTTTATTATTATCACAACTAATAACTTCAATTCAAAGACCACTTCTGTCTTGTTCACACAGCACAACATCTGAAGTTATGGATTTGCCAATCTTAACGTTTCTCAGCTGTAATGCAAAACCACTTCATGTGTATTCCATCTGTCTCATGGGATATGGCGGTAAGGGAAATACATTGATGGTCATCCTAGTTGTTGTGACATGAGTACTAATGTCTTTTGTCTATGACCCAGGAGTGCTGTATTTTCTGCATCCATGAACCTATAACTAAAAAAAAAAAAAAAAAAATTAGTAAGCATTTGTACAATGAAGAGATCTCATTTCATTCTCACAACTCTAGGAGATGGGCACACGTTATTCCTCCCTCTTCTTCAAATGGAAATCTAAAGCTTGCAGGAGCCACATTCACCTGTTCCTAGGTGGCCATAGTGCCTAAGGCACTTGACTGAGAAACAGAAGGTTGTCGGTTCAAACCCACCAGCCATTCCGCGGAAGGAAGACGGGGTAGCCTATTTCCGCTATAAAGATTTACCGCCTCGGAAACCCAAAGGCACTCGCTATGACTTTGGTTTCTTGAGTCAGCCACAGTAAACAAATGGGCTGTGTCTAGGTATTGAAGCTGGCGCTGGAAACCACGTAGGAGGTAAATCCACTGCGTTCTCTCACAACTGGCTCCGCTTATCACTATTCCCTCATTCGTTTCAAAGACAAGGACCGCAAGGGCTTCATACTGAGGAAAGGCAGAGCATCAATGCTATTATCACAAAACCGTCGCGTCATTCTTATATGGGTGGCACGCCCCGTCATCACCTTCAAGGCTCTAACCTAAGGCCACTTTGCACAGATTGAGCCGCGAACTCGGCTCTTCCCTCTGCGCAGGCGCACGCTGCCCGCTTCCGCTTTGGGCGGGACCGGCGGTCCAGGGGACGGTACAAGCAGCTGCTCCAGGTGTTAGCACAGTGTATATGCATCCCTATGGAGCTCGGGGGCTGCCCAGGCTTGGGCGTGGCCCGGGGAGTGCTCTCGGCAACCCCCGAAACGCGGCAGGAGCGGAGGACAGGGGTCGAAGAGGGGGCTTCCGGCCCTGGTGCTGTCCGAACCCGCCGTTTCGTGTTATGTCTCTACTTGGTGGGCTTCCTGGTGAGTGACAGGGCTGGGGCTGAGATGGGGCTGGGGACTCAGTGCTGACTCGGTCTTGGACTTGGAACAAAAGCAGCGATTTTATTTTATTTGTTTATTGTTTTTTAAAGCTCTGGGGGTGATAGGCTCAGTCAGACTTGGGAACCTGTACTCTGCAACATCTGGTGCCGTCCCATCTCTCAACCCTCCTCACTCTCCATTCGAGGCAAACTGATTTACTACCTTTGAGCTTCTACGTCGGCGCACTAGCGGCGCCCCAGCCCCTCCCAGGTGTGACCCTTGGCCCTAATCCCGCCCTGTGCGTGACCCCTGATGTTAGATGCTGCTGGTAGGTGCAGGGCTCCAAGAGCGGATAACCAGTCACCTGGACGAACTTGAAAAGCTAATTTAGCAAGTAAGATATCAAAGGAGCTCTGGTGTCGCAGTGGTTAAGGAATTCGGTCGGGCGTTCCAACTCACTCCCCAGCTTGAGAAAGATGAGGCAGTCTGCTTCTACAAAGATTTAACAGCCTTGGAAACCCTAGGGGGCAGTTCTACTCTGTCCTATAGGGTCGCTATGAGTGGGAATCGATTTGACTGATGGCAGTGGGTTTGGTGGGTTTTTGTTGTTGTTGTTATTGTAGTTTATATAAGATTTCAGGAGCCCTAGTGGTACAGTGTTTTAAGTTGCTAACCAGAAGGTCACGGTTCAAACCCACCAGGTGCTCCAAGAGAGAAAGATGTGACACTTAACTTCCCTGCATATTACAGCCTTGAAAACCCAGTGGGGCAGTTCTGCTCTGCCCTGTGTGGTCGCTTTGAGTAGGAATTGACTCGAAGGTAATGGGTTTAGATGTAAGATTTTAATAATTGATTCAGTCATTAAACCAAAACCGAACTCAACTGCCATCCAGTCGATTCCGACTCATAGAGGCCCTCTTTGGATTTCTGATGTGGTAAATCTTCACCAAAACAGATTGCTCAGTCTTCCTTCTGCAGAGTGACTGGTGGGTTTAAACCACCAACCTTCTGGTTAGTAGTCAAATGTCTTAGGCACTATTAGGTATCTAATTTCTTTAGGAAAAGTGTAAGATTTCCCAAAAGTCAAAAGAGAGTACTGAAAAACCAAACTCACTGCCCTGGAGTCGAATATGACTCACAGCGACCCCTCCTTGAGTTTCTGAGGCGGTATCACTATGGAAGTACATTGTCCAACCTTACTTCCCAGGAGTGGCTGGTAGGTTTGAACCACCAGCCTTCTGGTTATCAGTCAAATGCCTTAGGCACTATACCACCAGAGCTCCCCAAAAGAGAATAAGGAAGTATTTTTTAAATGGAAAATGTATACATTTGAAATATATGAAAAATTGGGTATCCTTGAAGGATCTCATAGCTCTTTGTTAAGTAACATATATAGTAATTATTTTTTTAAGTATTTAGAGATATAAATACCCCTCAGACTCTTGGGAATATGATTTTCAGTCGGGGGAGGAGGAGAACAAGGTGAAAGAAGTCATTTGCCAAAAGTTCTAGTGTTTTTAGCTCTTATTTCTACTTCTGGGTTTTAATTTGTTTTGGAAGGAAGACAAAGATGAGGCTTTACACCTGTTTCAGTGCTAGCATCTATGATTTCCATTCTCTTTTGTCCAGGTAATTGGTGAAATAAATATTCCATTTCCTTAGCTTCAGTCCCTACATCAGCTGGTAATTTTTAATGCTAGGCTACTCATCAAAAAGTATTTGGGTTCCTATAGGAAACTTTTGGGGTTATCTGTCAAATAGGGTCACTATGAGTCAGGATCAACTTGATGGCAACAGGTATAGGTTGAGATCAAGTTGACAGCACACAATGACAGTATTTGAATTTGTTCATCAGTTTTCATTGTGAAATGCAAATGCAAGATTAAAGGTTGCAGTGCCCCTCTGACCTAATTGCATATTTTGCCAGTTGTAAAGTTTGAAGTTCACTTAGTGATAGTAGTTTTGGAGGAGCTATGCATGCAGAAAAAGGAGTTACCCTTTGTGTTAAAAGTAGAAAATACTTTTAGAACAGAACTTCCTTACAGGAAAGAATTGGCACTTGGCTTCCTATGAAAAAATACATTATTTTTCAGGCTCACAAAGTACTAAAATAAGGGTAATAGCTAATTACTGCTTATAAGTCTATATTTTCATATTTATTTGCAACAGATCTCAGCCTGTCTACTTGATACTAGGTCTGGTGGCATAGTGCCTAAGGTGTTTGACTGCTAACCAGAAGGCTAGCAGTTCAAACCCACCAGCCACTCCTTGGAAGGAAGATTGGGCAATTGACTTCTGTAGTGATGCTGCCTTGGAAACCCGAGGAGGGGTCGCTATCAGTAAGGTCTGACTCAATGGCAATGAGTTTGGGTTTTTTGTTTTATCCTTTATTTAGGAGCTCTCGTGGCACAGTGATTAAAGCATTTAGCTGCTAACCATAGGTTGTGGTTCAAACCCACCAGCCACTCCATGGAAGAAAGATGAAACAATCTACCTCTGTAAAGATTTACAGCTTTGGAAACCCTATTGGGCAGTTTTACTCTGTTCTTTAGAGTCACTGTCAGAATTGAATCGATGGTATTGGGTTTTTTATTTCTATTTGAATATTAAATGACATGTGGTATTGAAAATTTTTTTGGGGAAAAGCCTTCTTATTGGACAGTTGAATTTTCTCTTCTAAAATATCCAGAAGATTCAATTGATGCTTGATACATTTTGAGTCTCTTAAGTGATATAAACATCAAGGCTGATGAGACAAAGCAGAAAAATCTGAAGACAAATTAGCTTAGACCCAGAATGAATTCTGAGTAATTTAAAATTATATTAATAGTATAAATTTATGAGCTATTTAAGGTTGCTGGTTATTAATTATATGGCTATCTAAAGATGTAACTATGGGAAAAGTCCGTCTGAAAGTTTACTTGGAGATTGATATTTCTTTAATTAGGTATATACAACAGTTACTAGAGGAGGGAAGAGAGAGATGAACTCTGGACCAAAGGAAATATTTTGGTGCATGTTCTTTCCTTTAGTTTAAGTGGAATCATAGAGGGAATTCAAGTTAAATATAAAGAAAAATGTATGTGTGTGTACAAATGTGTTTTCTTCCCCTAAAGTGTTTGTAGCAAGTTACCAAATGAGGTAAAAATGAGAACAAGACTTAAAGGAAAAATGATTAGTCTTCCTATTTACTCAGAATACTAGCAAAAAGGATTGGTGCTTATCCATGGAACTGAAGGAAAGAGAAAATATGTTTGAGCTTCTCTTGTGTGCCAGACCTTTTTCAACCATATGTCATTTAATGTTCATCATGTTTCTTTCTACCAGGCATTTATTGCTATACCCATTTTTTTATACATGACCCAAGAACAAACTCATAGTGCTAGAGTTGAAATTGAGAACTGTTTTACTCTAAACCCCATTCATATACCTTCTATGACTTACCTGCAGAACATTGGCCTTCCTTCTCTGTTCTACCTGCTTTACTGAGACTTTCTTTTATGCATTACCTTGTAAAACCATAAACTATAGGTTCTAGAAACTTTTTCACCTTCCTTAACTCCAGGAAGAAATTTCTGTTATTAAGAGAAGTGTTGTTTCATCAATAAATATGTATTACCCTACTTCTTTTCTTTCTCATTTCATTACATTCAAACATTTTTGGTTTTCTTTTTTTTAATTTGAAAAACTTATACATCACATCCTCATTGAATGCTGTCTTAGTTATCTATTGTTGTTAGATGCCATCAAGTCGTCTCCCACTTACAGTGACCCTGTATGTACAGAAGAACAAAATGCTGCCCTGTCCTCTGCCAACCCCATGATCCTTGCTGTACCTGAGCCCACTGTTGCAGCCACTGTGTCAGTCCATCTCATTGGGGGCATTCTTCTTTTTCACTGACCCTCCACCTTACTGAGCATGATATCTTTCTCCAGGGGATAGTCCCTTCTAGTAAAATGACCGAAGTGTTGTTGTTAGGTGCCGTCGAGTCGTTTCCGACTCATAGCAACCCCATGCACTGCAGAATGAAAACTGTCCTATCCCGCACCAGCTCCATGATCCCTGCTATACTTGAGACCATGATCGCAGCCACCGTGTCAGTCCATCTCGTTGAGGGCCTTCCCCTCTTTCGTCGACCCTCCACCTTACCAAGTGTGACATCCTTCTCCAGGGAATGGTCCCTTCTGACAATATGACCAAAGTAGGTGAGGCAAAGTCTGGCCATTCTCTCTTCCAAGGAGCATTCTGGCAGCACTTCTTCCAGGACAGATTTGTTAGTTCTTTTAGCAGTCTGTGGTACTTTCAGCATTCTTTGCCAACACTACAACTCAAAAGCATCAACTCTTCTTTGGTCTTCCTTACTCATTGTCCAGCTCTCACATGCATATGAGGTGATTAAAAATACCATGGCTTATGTCAGACACACCTTGGTCTTCAAGGAGACATCTTTGCACTTCAGCACTTGAAAGAGGTCTTTTGCAGCAGATTTGTCCAATGCTATACGATGTCTGATATCTTGACTGCTGCTTCCATTGGTGTTGATTGTAGAACCAAGTAATATGAAGTCTTTGACAACTTCAAACTTTTCTCCATCTATCATAATGTTGCTTATTGGTCCAGTTCTGAGGATTTTTGCTTTCTTTATATTGAGGTATAACCCATACTGCAGACTGTAGTCTTCAGTCTTCATCAGTAAGTGCTTCAAGTCATCCTCACTTTCGGCAATCAAAGTTGTGTCGTCACTATATCATAGGTTCCTAATGATTCTTCCTCCAATCCTGATGCCACATTCTTCTTCATATAGTCCAGCTTCTCAGATTATTTGCTCAGCATACAGATTGAATAACTGTGGTGAAAGGATACAACCCTGATGCACTCCCTTCTTGACTTTAAACCATGCAGTGTCCCCTTGTTCTGTTTGAATAACAGCCTCCTAGTTTATGTACAGGTTCCTCATGAGTACAATTAAGTGTTCTGAAATTCCCATTCTTTTCAATGTTATCCACAATTTGTTATGATTTACACAATCGAATGCCTTTGCACAGTTAATAAAATACAAGTAAACATCTTTCTGGTATTCTTTGCTTACAGCCAAATCCATCTGACATCAGCAATGATATCCCTCGTTGCACATCCTCATATGAATACAGCTTGCATTTCTGGAAGTTCTCAGTCAATATACAGCTGCAACCATTTTTGAATTATCTTTAGTAAGATTTTACTTGCATGCAATATTAATGATATTGTTTGATAATTTCCACATTCTGTGGGGTCATCTTTCTTTGGAATGGGTACAGATATGGATCTCTTCCAATTAATTGGCCAGGTAGCTGTCTTCCAAATCTCTTGGCATAGCCGACTGAGTGCCTCCAGCGTGGCATCCGTTTGTTGAAACATCTTAATGGATATTCCGTCAATTCCTGGAGCCTTGTTCTTCTCCACTTCCTTCAGTGCAGGTTGGACTTCTTCTTTCAGTACTATTGGTTCTTGATAATATTCCACCTCCAGAAATGAATGAATAGGAACCAGTTCTTTTTGGTACAGTGACTGTGTTTTTCTTACATCTTCTTTTGACGTTTCAAAATCATTCAGTATTTTGCCCATAGAATCTTTCAATATTGCAACTCAAGACTTAATTTTTTTTTTTTTTCAGTTCTTTCAGTTTGAAAAATGCCGAGTGTGTTCTTCGCTTTTGACTTTCCAGTGCCATGTCTTTACATGTTTCATTATAATAATTGACTTTGTCTTCTTGAGCTGCACTATGAAATCTTCTGTTCAGCTCTTTTATCTTGCCATTTCTTCATTGGCTTTAGCCAAGGGCAAGTTTCAGAGTCTCTTCTGACATGCATTTTGGTCTTTTCCTCCCTTCCTGTCTTTTTAATGACCTTGTGCTTTCTTCATGGATGATGTTCTTGGTATCATTCCACAATTCCTCTGGTTTTCGGTCACTGGTGTTCAGTGTATCAAATCTGTTCTTTAGGTGGTCTCTAAATTCAGGGGGGATATATTCAAGGTCATATTTTGGCTCTTGTGGGCTTGTTTTAATTGTCTTCAACTTCAACTTGAACTTGCATATGAGCAGTTGATGGTCTGTTTCACAGCCAGCTCCTGGCCTTATTTTGGCTGAAGATATTGAGCTTTTCCATCACTTCTTGCCACATGATGTAGTCAATCTGATTCCTGTGTACTCCATCTGGCAAAGTCCACATGTAGAGATGGTTTTTGTATTGTTGAAAAAAGGTATTTGCAATGAATAAGTCATTGGTCTTGTAAAATTCTATCATGCGATCTCTAGCATCATTTCTGTCACCAAGGCCAAATTTTCCAACTACTGGTGATTCTTTGTTTCCAACTTTTGCATTCCAATCACCAGGAATAATTAACATTTATTGATTGCATGTTCAGTCAATTTCAGACTGCAGAAGTTGGTAAAAATCTTCAATTTCCTCATCTTTGGCTTTAGTGGTTACTGCCTAAATTTGAACAATAGTAGTATTAACTTGTTTTCCTTGTAGGCATATGGATATTATTCTATCACTGACAGCATTGTACTTAAGCATAGATCTTGAAATATTCTTTGTCATGATAAATACCCATTCTTCCTCAAGTTGTCATTCCTGGCATAGTAGATCATATGGTTGTCTGATTCAAAATGGCCAAAACTGGTCCATTTCAGTTCACTAATGCATAGGATAGCAATCTTTATGTGTTCCATTTCATTTTTGACAACTTCCAATTTTCCTGGATTCATACTTCATACATTCCGTGTTCTGATTATTAATGGATGTTTACAGCTGTTTCTTCTCATGTCGAGTCATGCCACATCAGCAAATGAAGGCTCTGAAAGCTCCACTTTATCCATATCATTAAGGTAGGCTCTACTCTGGTGAGGCAGCTCTTTTCCATTCATATTTTGAATGCCTTCCAACCTCAGGGGCTCATCTTCTGGCACTGTATCTCACAGTATTTCAGGGCTATTCATGAAGTTGTCCTGTAATGTAACAGACAGTGTTTCTGTTCATAAGGTTTTAGTGACCAATTCTTTGAGAAGTGGATGGCCTCTTACATCTTCTGAGTCTGTCTTAGGCTGGAAGCTCCTCTGAAACCTGTCCACCATGGGCAACCCTGCTGGCACAGCCTCCAGCCTCACAGCAACGTGTTAGCCACCACAGTATGACAAATTGACAGACCAGTTCATCTTCCTTAGCTGTTCCAACCACTCCACTCACTTCCTGGCCTTCTCCCATAACATCCCACTGTTTCAGCCATCAGCCTTGGCTCCAGCTTCCTGCCTGGGGGCTTTCCCCTCCTTACCTTTTCCTGCCATCAGCCTTTACTCCCGCTTCCTGCCTGGAAGTGCTGTTCTTGCAGAGATACCGCAAGTGGACAGCTGTAACAAACAAAAATTTATTCTCTCACAGTTTGTTGTTGTTATGTGCCGTCAAGTTGGACCTGACTCATAGTGACCCCTCCTTGGGTTTCTAAGGCAGTATCACTACAGAAGTAGATTGCCCAACCTTCCTTCTGAGGAGTGGCTGGTGGGTTTGAACCACCAGCCTTCTGGTTAGCAGTCAAGTGCCTTTAGGTACTACGCTACCAGAGCTCCCTCTCACAGTTTAGGAGGCTTGAAGTCTAAATCAGAGCACCAGCTCTAAGGAAAGGATTTATCTCTCTGTGCCTCTTGGTCCTAGTAAGATTCCAGTGCAGGGACCTTAGGCCCAAAGAATGCGACCCACTCCAGGCTTTTCTTAGTTGGTGGTAGTAGTTACCTCTCTCCCCACTGCTCACTGCTCTTTCCATTTATGCCTTGTAAGATAAAAGATGTTGCAGCCCACACCCCAAGGAAACGCCTATACATTAGAACAGGGCTGTGAAGGGACCAAAGGCAGCATCCTACCCTAATCTTTTTACAGCTAATTGGTTTATCACATCAGATTATATCTTGGGGAATATATAATTCCCCAAGTTATATAATGGCCAAACCACTGAGAATCATGGCCCAGTCAATTTGACACACATTTTTGGGAGACACAGTTCAATCCATGACAGATGTTCAGTGTGAATTACAAAGACACTAAAGTTAAAATGAATTCTGGATCAAGGTAATCCAGGCAGTTGTAATTGGCAGATGTTATTGTAACACAAAGGAGCTCTGGCGGCACAGTGCCTAAGGCATTTGGCTGCTAACCAGAAGGTTAGTAGTTCAAACCTACTAGCCACTCCATGGAAGGAAGACAAGGCAATCTACTTCCATAGAGATACTGCCTCGGAAACCCTGCTGGGGTCACTATGAGTCAGAATTGACTGGATGGCAGGGTTTTTTTTTTTTTTTTTTAAATAACACAGGTATTTGGATTCTTTGGTAATTTTATCCTGATTACTATGGCATAATATACACTACAATGATGATTTCTTGTTTGTTCAACATTCTAGACATTGATTTTATTTTTAAAATCATAAAAATTATAAGATTACCAGTTTAAAAACATCTAAGCATTAGTTACTAATTTGATTTTAAAAAAATATATTTTCTTTTCTTTTAGGATTTGTTTGGTGTAAGTATGATTGTTCCTTTATTAAGCCTTCACGTCAAGTCTCTTGGAGCAAGCCCAACAGTTGCTGGTATAGTAGGTGAGGGGTTAATATCACTTCTTTTCAGAGCATTGAATTTTAAATTCACTGAACTAAGTCCCTGGACCAGGTAGTGTTTCTTTCTGTTGTGCATAGGGTCCCTATGAGTTGGAGCTAACTGGACAACACCTAACAACAACAAAGTCCCTGAAAAAAAATCAGTCTTATAAATAAATATTAGCCAAAGGGTAAAATAGATTGTTAGAATACTTTAAAATATCACATTGGAGCAAAGTATTTCATCTTTTTGTAGCCTTCCTTAGTTCAAGGAGGCTTAAGGGTTTGAACTTCATCTCTGCGGCCCATACCACCAGACACACATCAGGTATTTATTGAGTTCCTCCGAGGAGCTGGTTGTGTATGTTTAAGGGTGGTGATGGACACTTTCCTATGGGAACGTGTATAATCTAATGAGTGAGATCAGAGAAACATGATCTACAGAAACCATATCTAAGGGAAAGAAATTGGATGAGCCTTGGCAAATTGATTGGAAGTTTCTAGCATCACCATCAGCACATCTTTAAGAGCTGCCAACAGTGGACTGAAACATAGCCACAATTGTGAGGAAGGCATAGTGTTTCATTCTGTTGTACATGGGATCTCTATGAATAGGAACTGAATCCACAGCACCTAACAACAACAGAACTTCTCTGTCTGTGCAGCATAAAAATTAGATCAGGAAGTCATTGATTTACATAAGAGGTAGGACATAGCAGGACTTGGGTAAAACAAGCTAACACAGGGAAAGTGCTAATTAATGAGAAATTAATTTGAAGAGAAATGTAAGAGCAACAGCCTTGTCTCTTTTACAAGTAGATACTCTAATGTTTTGGGTACTTTTGTATCTCGTGTTTATTAGGTCCTGGTTCATGCCATGATTTTTTTCTCAAGTACTTGGCTTTATACTGCATAAGTATTTTATCAACAGCAGAATAGGCATGTTACATGATAAAATGGAGATAAAAGCTCGTAAAACTTTGTAAATTCCTTATAAAACTAAGACATTTTTTAAAACTATAAAATGTTAGAGACATCTGAGGTGTTAAAACTTAAGGCTCAGTAGAATTTTTCTAAGATTTCAATAAGAGTCAATAGAAATTTTTCAGATTTCAATTCTGCTTTCCATTCAGTCTTATAAATCAGAAGTACACAATTACTACCTAGAGTCAGAGTTACCCAGTTCTTACATAGTGTCCCTTCATATCTCTCAGTGTTCCTAAGGTCAGCCCTTGCATTTATTTTCTCATCTGATTACCGTATTTTATTTTGAATACCTTTTATTAAATATTATATTACTTACACCCTTCTAGCTCAAAAAAAAAATTGGGTTTTTTAAATGAAATATTTGTATATTAATTTCTTTGTAAATATTACCACATTGGTCCATCCCTATGATGAGTCCAGCTGATTTTATGTTATTGATGTTTTTACAGGCTCCACCTATGGCATCTTACAACTCTTTTCTAGCACATTAGTGGTAAGTTACCTTCCATCTGGCAACACATCCTAAAAGCATAGTTGTATGGTTCTGATAGTCACTGATGATTGCTGTAGTAAAACTGAGTGCTTGAGGTTTACTAAAACATAGACTAAATAGTAGAATTTAGATGGTGGTTAGATCAAGAGATCCTTTAATCATTTACCCTCCTAATTTAACACGTGTGAAAACTTAGGCTTGAAGAGGTTAGATGGTTTGCTCTGAGTAGGACACATTGTTAGTGACAAACTTGGTAGTAGAACCCTACAAAAAAGATGTATCGGCAGCATCCTCTGACTTTCTTTAGTTTTCACAAGGAAATAGGAGGATCCAGAATAACATCAACAGCCCAAGGCTGATTCCTATGAGGCAGAAGTTAGACATACTGCCAACCTCCAACCTTTTTGCCAGTACTGACACCAGCAGTCCCTCTCATGGCACTGTTTCTCTGCTGTGTTTGATAATTCATTGCAGTGGCCACACAGAACTGACAGACAATATTCACAATTATGGGGTTTATTCAGGAAGTAACAGGTGACAATTCAGGATCAGAAAACAACTCAGGAGAGCTTCTTCTCAGCTATGCCACAGGACACTTCCTTCTGGCTTGGGCTCTGCCCTACTTGGGCCAGTGTGACAAAGTTCTTTTAGCTTTGCCATATAGATGCCCAAAGAGGGACCCCACTCCACCAGCAAATCTCCTGTCCAATGGCACTCACCTTTCTTGCTCCTTGGGCTGAAAAACCCATGACTCTGTCTCATGCCGGTCTCTTGGTTCTGTTGCCTCCACTACTGCCATCTCTCTTGTTTCTCTGCTGTCTTAGCACAGGGATCTCTGGCCCAAAGATGGCCTCTGGCTTTTCTCTCTTGATGATAGTGAGATGTACCCTTTCCTTCTAGGCTCATTTTAAGGCTAAGAGGATAGTAAAACTGAGCAATCCCCACATTTGGGTTCCATATACCTTGTTTGCATGGTCCCACCCACACAAGTCTCTCCTACATGATACATGGACAAAAGATTTAAGTTGTTAGGGATTTCATTTTACTTAGATCCATAACCAGTGCCCATGGAAGCAAAAGTGAAGAAATCAGATGATGTATTGCACTGGGCAGATCTGCTGCAAAAGATGTCTTTAAAGTGTTCAAGAGCAAAGATGTCATTTTGAAAACTAAGGTGCACCTGACCCAAGCCATGGTATTTTCAATAGCCTCATAAACATATGAAAGCTGAACAATGAATAAGGAAGACTAAAGAAAAATTGATGTCTTTGAATTATGGTGTTGATCAAGAATATTGAAAATATCATGGACTTCCAGAATGAACAAGTCTGTCCTGGAAGAAGTACAGCTAGAATTCTCCTTAGAAGTAAGAATAGCCAGACTTCATCTCACCTCCTCTGGTCATGTTGTCAAAAGGAACTAGTCCTTGGAGAAGGATATCATGCTTGGTAAAGTAGAGGGTCAGTAGAAAAGGGAAACCCTCGACCAGCTGGATTGACCCAGTGGCTGTGATGATGGGCTCAAGCATGGAAATGATTGTGAGGATGGTGCAGGATTAAGCACTGTCTTGTTCTGTTGTACACTGAGTCAGAACTGACTTAGCAGCACCTGACCACAGCAACTAGAACAACCACCACACAAGGGTGCCATGTGCCTTATTTACATTATTAGCAGACTATCCAGTCCCCTTGGTGGGTCATAGGCACCTCACATTTACATAGTCCCACCTAGTCATTTGTGTGTGTGGAGCACCCCTAGGGCAGACCACAATCAGCCAGCCCAGAAACAGCAAAAGGTGGGTGTTTGCACATGTGAAACGCCCCCAGGGTAGGCTGCAATAAGTCAGACTAGAGCATGGGAAGGCAGATGTTTGTGTGGAGTGCCCCGGGGGCAGACTGGGTAAGCAAGTAGGGCAAGGGAAACCAGGAAATGAGCAGAGCAGTTTGGAACAACTAAGGGAAGGACACATGTCTGTCAGCCCTACTGTGGTAGCTTGAGTGTTGCTGTGAAGCTGGAGGGTATGCCACAGGTGTTTCAAATGCCAGCAAGGTTACCCATGGTGGACAGGTTTCCGTGGAGCTTCCAGACTACGACAGACTTGGAAGAAGGGAAAAACCATCCACTTCTCAGAGAACTGGCTAGTGAAGACCTTATGAATAGCAGTGAAACACTGTCTGATATACTACTGGACAACTTTATGAATAGTCCTGAAACATTGTGCAATATAGTGCTGTAAGATGAGTCCCTCAGGGCCGAAGGCAATCAAATTATGACTGGAGAAGAGCTGTCTCCTCAGAGTAGAGCTGACTTTAATGACGTGGATAGAGTAAAGCTTTTGGGACTTCAGTTTGCTGATATGGCACGTCTCAAGCTGAGAAGAAATAGCTGCAGTCATCCATTAATAATCAGAACATGTGGAATGTATGAAGTATAAATCTAGGAAAATTGGAAGTTGTCAAAAATGAAATGGAACACATAAAGATTGATATCCTAGGCATTAGTGAGCTGAAATGGACTGGTTTTGGCCATTTTGAATTAGATGATCATATGATCTTTTATGCCGGGAATGACAAATTAAGAAGAATAGCATGGCATTCATCATCACAAAGAATGTTTCAAGATCTATCCTGAAGTACAGTGCTGTCAGTGATAGGATAATATCCATATGTCTGCAAGGAAGACCAGTTAATACTACTATTATTCAAATTTATGCACCAACAACCAAAGCCAAAGATGAAGAAATTGATGATTTTTACCAACATCTGTACTCTGAAATTGACTGAACATGCAATCAAGATGTATTAATTATCACTGATGATTGGAATGCAAAAGTTGGAAACAAAGAAGAATCACCAGTAGTTGGAAAATTTGACCTTGGTGATGGAAATAATGCTGGAGATCACATGATAGAATTTCACAAGACCAACAACTTATGCATCGCAAGCAGCAAGGTGGAAAAGCAGGGAGAGGACAGAAAAGGCAAAGGGGACCGGTTAAGCCAAGAGATTGGGAAGACAGCTACCTGGCCAACTGACTGGAAGAGATCCATATTTCTACCCATTCCAAAGAAAGGTGATCCTATAGAAGGTGGAAATTATCAAACAATATCATTGATATCACAGGCAAGTGATATTACTGACTAAGACCAAACCAAACCCACTGCCATCAAGTCGGATCTGACTCATAGCGACCCCTTTTTGGGTTTCCAAGATGATATCACTACAGAAGTAGATTGCCTAGTCTTCTTTCCAAGGAGTGGCTGGTGGGTTTGAACCACCAGCCTTGTGGTTAGCGGTCAAGTGCCTTAGGCACTATGTCACCAGAGCTGAAAATAATTAATAAATGAGGCTATTTTAAATTTAAATTAAAAAAGGAGGCTGTTGTTCAAACAGAACTAGGAGATACTGCATGGTTTAAAATCAGGAAGGGAGTACATCAGGGTTGTATCCTTTCACCATATTTATTCAATCTATATGCTAAGCAAATAACTTGAGAAGCTGGGCTATACGAAGAAGAATGTGGCATCAGGATTGGAGGAAGAATCATTAACAACCTGCGATATGCTGATGACACATCTATTACAAAAGACCTCTTCAAGTGCTGAAGAGCAAAGATATCTTCTTGAAGACTAAGATATGCCTAACCCAAGCCATGGTGTGTTCAGTCGCCTCGTATGCATATGAGAGCTGGACAGTGAATAAGGAAGACCAAAGAAAAGTTGATGCTTTTGAGCTGTGGTGTTGGTGAAGAATGCTGAAAGTACCAAGGACTGCTAAAAGAACTAACAAATCTGTCCTGGAAGAAGTGCAGCTGGAATGCTCCTTGGAAGCGAGAGTGGCCAGACTTCGTCTTGCCTACTTTGGTTATGTTGTCTGAAGGGACCATTCTCTGGAGAAGATGCCATACTTGGTTAAGTAGAGGGACAATGAAAAAAGGGAAGGCCCTCAACCAGATGGATTGAATAAGACGGATTCCCACAGTGGCTACAGAGATGGGCTCAGGTAGAGTAGGGATCATGAGGCTGGTACACGACCAGGCAGTGTTCCTTTCTGTTGTAAATAAGGTCACTATGAGTCGGACGTGACTCGACAGCACATAACAACAACAACCACCACCTAGTCATCTGGTGGGAATCACAAAGACTGTGACTAGAAGAGCCAAACAAGGTAATTCACTTCACCACAAACCCTTTCTTCATATTATAACATGCTCTTCCCATGATTCCCTGCTATTATTTACTGAGATCTCAATCTAAAAATATTACTATAGTTTTTATTGTTTGTTTCAATTAATGGAAAATAATCAAATCTATTCAGATTTCTAGAGTACTATTGGAAGTTGTTCATTTTAAGTGTATATATAAAAGAAGCCATTTATAGTAGTTGGTTATATATATGTAATATGCAGTACAAAGACTCAGTGGATTCTGTCACTCACCTTCTTGAAACCTCTTACTTGTTTGAAGTTCAGAACTTTTGACTGAGCTAACCTTCACTCTTTGATGCACTCTACTCAACCCACTGTGTTCTTGAGACTTTGGAAGATAACGATGTCCAGTCGTTCAGGCAGTTCAAATAGAACAGTTGTGTTAGGCTGGGTTCTCAATAGAAGCAAAAACGGTGAAGCTTATGTATGTGTATATGTAGAGATTGATCTCAAGGAAATGGCTCATATGGTTGTAGAGCTGGCAAGTCACAAGTCTGTGGGTCAGAAGTCAGGCTGGAGTCGTCTCTTGGCCAACAATCTACAGGGGCTGAGGATTGCAGGTCAGGTGGCAAGCTTCTGGATCCTGGGCTGCAGAGCCTGATGAATCCCAAGACAGCAGGTAATATGACAGGCTAGCGGCTCAAATCCAAAGAACCGGAGGTCCGATAATGACAAACCAGATGCAGGATCCAAATCAAAGAAAAACCCTAGGAGGTTTGTCAGGACATCCATAAATATGTTGGAGGCAAGCCACATCCCCTAGGAAACTCCCTTTCAGTTGATTGGCTGCTCAT